ACGGATGACCCATTAACCCTTGACCCACTAGCTCGACCGGGTCCGGGTCAACCCGCGGGTTGACAACCTTGCTTACAAGCCTATCTATAGGCCTCTAGTTACATAAATATCAAGGGAACCGACTTAGATATATGGTTCCTAATTTTTTCTTTTTGTTTAATCTATTCAACTAACCCAAATACCATAATAAATTTCCCTTCTACACATTTCCATAATCCATACACGTTGATAGTATTCTAGGGGGTTCTGATTCTTTTCACCTTTATTCTATAATTAAACTTTATTAATTAATTTCAACACTCCCCCTTATAGTATAATTCGACGTAACTCCGAGTACTGTCCTCAGTTTGACGAACACATCTTGCTTCAGCGGCTTCGTGAATATATCAGCAATCTGGTCTTTAGTCTTCACATATTTCAGCGTCACTTCTTTTTGCTCCACACATTCTCGTAAGAAATTATATCTCGTATCAATATGCTTACTGTGATCATGAAATACTAGATTCTTTGCTAACGCCAGGGCACACTTTGTATCACATAAATCTCAGTAGACTCTTCTTGTGTCATATTCAACTCCTTCAACAACTTTCTCGGCCATATTGCATGACACGCACATGATGTCGTAGCAACATACTCAGCTTCACAAGTAGATAGTGTCACGATAGATTGCTTCTTTGAAATCCAAGTTAAATCTGTATCTTCGAGGAAAAATACGAATCCTGCAGTGCTCTTGCGATCATCCACGTCTCCTGCCCAATCATTATTGCAGTATCCAACCAATTTGAATTTTTTTGATTTAGCATATAATAAACCATGATCAATTGTACCTTTGATGTATCACAATATCCTCTTGGCAGCATTCCAGTGTGACATTGATGGTGCCTCCATATATCTGCTGACTAATCCAACTGCGTAGAGAATATCTGGTCTGGTACAAGTCAGATATCTCAGGCTTCCCACGAGACTTCTAAACTCTGTTGAGTTAACCTTATCTCCTTTGTCATTCTTGGATAACTGTAGTCCACACACTGTTGGCGTGCTCACGGGATTACAGTTCTCCATTTTAAACTTCTTCAGGACCTCTTTTGCAAAACCACTCTGTGAGATGAAAACTCCTTCATCTTTTTTACTTACTTCAATTCCAAGATAGTATGACATTAATCCAATGTCATTCATCTCGAACTCACGAACCATCGTCTCCTTAAACTCTTCAAATATTTGAGGATCTTTGCATATGAAGACGAGATCATCAACATATAGACAAACTATCAATATTGCTCCACCTTACACCTTGCAGTATAGTGCATGCTCATGTGGGCATTTGCTGGAACCGTTCTGCTGAAAATACTTGTCAATCCTGCTATTCTAAGCTCTCGGTGCTTGTTTCAGACCATATAGTGCTTTCTTCAACTTCAACACTTTATCTTCTTGACCTTCAACGACATATCCATGGGGTTGCTCCACATAGATATCTTCCTTGAGATATCCATTCAGAAAACTTGACTTTACATCCATCTGATGTATATTCCATCCATTTTGAGTAGCGAGAGATATCAACATCCTGATACTTTCCATTCTTGCCATGGGAGCAAAAACTTCATTATAGTCAATGCCTGGTCTTTGACTATATCCTTTAGCCACCAATCTTGCTTTGTGCCTGACAACTTCTCCTTTGGCATTTTTCTTTACTTTAAATACCCACTTCACACTAATGGGCTTATGATTCTCAGGAAGTGACACAAGCTCCCAAGTCTTGTTCTTCTCAATTGCTTGAATTCTTCATCCATGGCTTTTCTCCATTTTTCATCTTTCATGTCTTCTTCAACATTCATTAGTTCACTAACAATGAAATGACAGTATAGTGTCAATTCATCACCATCAATGGTTGTCGTTTCCTCATAGATCTTCTAGACGTCTATACTTTTGTGGCCTCTCTTTCGCACTTTCACTTGAACTTCCTTCTGGGCTGGCAGGTTCTCTATGACTGGGTGGACTTGTCACAGGAGTAGCTATATCTGGTTCATCATCACTTTCATCCATAGTGAATGGATAAAAAGTATAACTCTTTTTTGCTTCAACAGTCTAGTCCCATGTTGCTTCTTCATCAACTATCACGTCTCTGCTGATGATAATCTTCTCTTCCACGGGATCAAACATTTTGTAACCTTTTGAGTGTTCTGAGTATCCCAGGAATATGTACTTCTTGCTTTTGTCATCCAACTTCTTCCTTTCTTGATCTGCGACGTGCACATATCCGACACTTCCAAAGACTCGGAGGTGAGAGACTCTGGGTTTTCTTCCGCTCCAAGCTTCTTGTGGTGTTTGATTCCAAACACTCTTTGTTCGTGACCTGTTCAACAGGTAGATTGCACAATCGGCAGGTTTTTGCTCTTCATCATACTTCTCGCCATGTTGAGTACAAATCTGTTCTTCCTTTCAACGACTCCATTTTGCTGTGGGGATCTTGGGACTGAGAGAAACCTGCGAATTCCTTGATATTCGTAGAACCTTCTGAACTTCTTCAACATAAATTCTCCCCCCTCTATCTGATATCATATCTTTGATGTAGCGGCCACTTTCATTCTCCATGAGCATCTTGAACTTCTTGAAAGCTTCAAATGTGTCTGACTTCTGCTTCAAGAAGTATACCCATGTCTTTCTACTGTAGTCATCAATAAACAGTAGGAAATATTTATTATTTCCAAACGATGTTGGAGTGATCGGTCCATAGAGATCTGCATGGACGAGCTCAAGTGGTGCTTTAGCTCGTGACAGGGACTCTTTCGGGAAACTTGCCCTGAATTGCTTCCCAACTAAGCATCCTTCACACAATTGGTCTGGACGATTAATCACGGGCAGACCATGCACCATCTTCTTCTGACTGAGTAACTTCAGGCCTCCAAAATTTCGATGACCATACCTCAGATGCCACAACCATGTATTGTCCTTCACACACGCTTTCAAGCACTTCGCCATTTTAGTCTAAATGTTCAGGGTGAACATTCTGTTTCTTGACATTGGGACTCTGGGTAGCAACAGCTTCTTCTCAGGATGTTACTATTCATGTGTGGGACATAGCACTACACATCACTGATAAATTGCTTTGAGCCATTCTTGAGCTGGATGAGTATAGTTCCTATCCATTTAATAGGAAGCTTCGAAGAGTCTCCAAATACGACATTTCCTTTCACTGATTCATCCATATCCATGAACATGTTTCTTTTTCCACACATGTGGTTGCTTGCTGCATTATCCAGATACCACATGTTATCTCTCGGTTTTTCATCTCCTTGATGTGACATCATCAATGTGCCTTTGACTTCTTCTTCTTGCACGTTGTTTGTCGTCTCCTCCACTTCTTTAGGCGGACTCTATCAGTCTGATGCATAAAGCCCGTACTTCGAGCAATTATAGCACTGGACGTTGGATTTATCACGACCTTCATTTGATCTCCAACTTCCTCTTCCACGCCTAGACCTTTGCCTCTGGTGGACGTTTCATAAATTTTCGTGGTGAAATTGCCTCCATCTCTGCTTTGATATGCTCCTCTAGCTCTTCCTCTTACTATGCCTCTGTAGTTGCCTCTGCCCCAACCTCTGTTCTGATCTCTTCCTCGTGCACCTTCTTTCTCCTTAGTGGTAGCTTTTGTAGCTAACACTTGTTCTGAAGATTCTTCATTTCTTTTATTTAGCCTTTCTTCCCTTTCTTGCAATGAGGCGATAACTTCATCCACCATCATTTTCGACACATCTTTTGCTTCCTCCATGGCCACCACCACATAGTCAAACTTTGGTAATAATGATCGTAGTATTTTCTCCACCACTTTGGTCTCTTCTATTTTCTCCTCATACTGCTTTAGTTTACTGGCGACAGACTTCACACGGGCGCTGTACTCCGAAACAGATTCACCTTCCTTCATTTTCATAGATTCAAAATCTCCCCTGAGTGTCTGAAGCGAACCTTTTTACTGGTTCCACACTTTGCATTTCCTTGTGCAGAATCTCCCATGCTTCCTTAGCTGTGGTAGCATCTGCTATTTGATCGAACATCGATTCATTAAGACATTGATGAATGAGAGTGAGAGCTTTTTGATCTCTCTTTAGATTCTTTCTCAACACCTCCTTTTTATTAGGAGTTAATCGAGCATCCTCCGCGGGAATTGCGTAACCTTTCTCAACAATATCCCAAGCATCTTAGGATCCAAGCAAGACTCTCATACGAAATACGCCAATTTTTGTAATTAGTTTTGGTAAGGTGGGGAATTGAATGGGGTAAGTAGATTTTTAGGCCATGGGACACTAGTGATAACAAAAACACGAAAAATTCTTTTCTGATGTGGAAGTTCAGACTACGCTGCAACCACAGAGCATACTCAGAAATAACTCGGGCTCTGATACCACTTTGTTGGAAATAAAATTATTATTTCGTTTATATTATTTGGTGGGAACTTATATGGCTTTGATGGGCACGTTTGGGGGAGGAATGGAAGTTGGTGATTTTTTAATTGAATTATGAGAGAGGGCTTTTGGGAGAGAGTAAGCGGCAGAGGGAGCTAGGGAAGAATGAATTTTATTGGCTACTTTCTTTTTTTGTTCTGCTCTTTCTTATTTGGCTCTGCACACAAACACCAAAGCTTACAAGCCTATTTATAGGCCTCCACTTGCAGAAATATCAGGGGAACCGATTTAGATATATGGTTCCTAATTTTTTCTTTTTGTTTATTCTATTCAACTAACCCAACTACTATAATAAATTTCCCTTCTACACATTTCCATAATCCATACACGTTGATAGTATTCTAGGGGTTCTGATTTTTTTCACCTTTATTCTATAATTAAACTTTATTAATTAATTTCATCATCTGCTACTTCTGGTGAGCCCTTCTTGATCCTTCTCCTTATCGATGATCGATTGGGCGATTGTTGTATCTTTGCACGACCAGACCTGACATTCAGTACGCGGTTCATCATCCTACTCAATTTGATGCTTCGCCTAGTGATATGCGTATGCATGTTGCATCTAGATTAGTTCGATTTGTTCGGAATAATCCTGGTAAAGGATTATACTTTCTAGCAGATTCTGAACTCAAAACTTTTTGCATTTTCAGACTCTGATTGGGCTGGTTTTCCAGATAATAGAAGATCCACTACTGAAGCAGAGTATAAAGCAATAGCTGATGCACTCACCAAATCACTACTTATATACATATTTGAAGACTTGATAGGGGACAAGTTACGGTGATTACTTAGGGCAAATTGGGTATAACAAAAAATTTATTAATGATATTTTTTAATAAATTACATTTTAGGAAATTACATAAATATATTAAATACAATTTTTCTCTCCCTCTTTCTCTCACTTCCACAATTTTCAGCCAGATCTATCTTCCTTCTTTTTCTCAATCTTTCCTTGATTTCGTTCATCCAAACTAATACCGCTGCAACAACAAAACAATAAATCAATATCAATCCATTAAAAAAAATACTACCATTGTACAAAACATCAATACCATTCAAGAAATAAAAACACTACCATTTCACAAAACATCAATACCATTGCAGATTAAATCACTACCAATGCGATAAAATCAATACCAATGTAACAAAATCAATACCAATGCGACGAAATCAATACCAATGCGACAAAAATAATACCAATGCGACAAAAACAATACCAATACGACAATAACACTACCACTACGGAGAAAAATGACTACCATTTAAAAAAAATCACTACGAAAAAAATGACTACCATTTAAAAAAAAATATATCAATGTACATCTCCACCGGGAAGTAAACGGTCATCGGCCAAAACCCCCACCGACCCCAAAAGACCCACGATGTCGTTGAAGAACGGGAGCAACATGGAGATCAGAGTTGTGGTAAAGACGAAGATGGTCATCCACACCAATATGAACAAGTTGAAGTTGTAATGGCCCCAGGGGAGTGGGATTCTTGATCACATCCACCGGGTTCGAAACCACCGCCGCCACGAACCCCGCCGCGTAGCTCACCGTCACGTGGGTCCCCAGCCCGTCGCCCATCACCCCTTTCTCCAGAATCGTCTCCTTGAACTCGTCGTACGACGCCAATTGCGACGCCGTCAGCAGCATTGCCATGTTCACCGTCATCGCCGACCCGCGCCACAGGCTCCTGATCCCTTCCTACCGTGACATCCGCGCGATCGCGTCCACCACGCTGGTGTAGTTCCGATCCCTTCCTGCCGGAGAACAGGGCCTTGACGCCTTCCTGCTGGACGATTCGAGAGCCGACCGCGATTGGGCCGACGCGAGGCGGCGCGGGGATGTGAATTGAGGTCCCGTGGTGGTGGTGAGGAAAGGCGAGGGCTGGTCGGAGGGCGGCGGTGGAGGCGGAGGATTCGCCCTAGAGCTGCATCCGGAACTTGATTAGGTCGATTGGGTGGTGAGAGCTTGCGGCTACGGCGGGTTTGGCTGTAGAAGTAGGGTTAGAGTAGAATATATAGAGTAATCAAGTGTGATCCTTTTTTCCCAAAATTATCCTGAGGCAATCTTAACCGTAAGATTAAAAAAAGAGGAAAGAGAAGAAAATAAATGGTGGATACTGATGTAGCCACGGTGACTACTTCTGGTGGCTACTAGAAATGGCTAGTATGTTTTGTACCGTTTGTCGGTTTCTTTAGTAATGTTTGTAAGTTTTGTTATTTTGTAATGTTTGTCGGTTACTTTTGTAATGTTTGTAAGTTTTGTTATTTTTGTGCACCATGTTTGTAATTTTTGTCAACCATGTTTGTAATGTTTTTTTAGGTATAAAAAACAATCTGGTTGACTTTTCGATGTAACTCCTCTATATAGGGATGAAGCCTCCAAAGTCAACCTGGGTGTTTTTCCAGTTTGTATGTTTTGTCGATCTAGTTTGTCATTTTTGTCCACCATGTTCGTATGTCTAAAAATTAACCGGGTTGACTTTGGGAGGGAGCCCCTCTATGTAGGGATGGAGCCTCCAAAGTCAACCCGATTGTTTTTTCTTTGTGCATGGTTTGTATTATTTGTCGGTGTAGTTTGTATTGTTTGTAAAGTTCATATGCTTGTAATGTTTGTAAATCTATTTGTATGTTTTTTCGTTCTAGTTTGTACTGTTTGTAAGTCCGGTTTGTATACTTCGTAATTTTTCATAATACCCAAATTACTCCTACTAATTAAAAATCCCTTCCAGGTCAGAAGCACGAGCTGAAGGACAAGGTTGAACGATGAGTCTTCCTTGCTCCAGTTCTCAATCAAAAGGTTTAACAAGGAATCAACAAAGATGTCAAAGTTGATGTAGATAGCTATCTGGAACTGGAATGAAGAAAAAATTGAAAGGAAGAAGGCCGAGATAACTCAACCACCACTATAGATGTGGAACCAACATAAGCAGAAAAACTCAATAAATGCATATTGAGATGGAGAAAAATAATGTCGTTGACAGAAATTTACGAGTGTAATGTTGCCATGAATGATTAGTTGAAAAAGAAAAATCGAATTACAGAGACACAGTTAAAACGCCACAAGAAGGAAACTACTGGTTGCAAGAACAGACAGATCAAATGAGGAAGTCATAGAAATTTTCGTGACGATGATTAAGTTCAACGAGAAGTATTAAAAGATGAATTTAGTTCTGTAATCGATCGTGCCGTCAATACGATACGATTTTACAAACCCTAGACAATAACAAGCTGGAAGCTCATATAATGCGTGAAATGTTATGATAATTAGACAACAACAAAAAGGAGCACTACAAGAAATGGCTTTTTAGTAGGGTTTGTTATACGGTTCGGTCCGGTTAAATTGGCCCGAATTGATTCAGTGTCAGTTCGGTCTTTTTCGGGAATATAAGGATTGAAGATTGGATATAGTCCGGTCTTGATCAAGTCCGGTTTTGACCCGGTCCGGTCTCAATTTGATCTTGATTTTAGATTGAGATTGTGGAGATTTTAGTGGAGTTTTAGGTGTTGGGCTCTCTTATCGGGTCTTTATCCGATTTTGGACCGGTCCCGAACGGTTTTTTACCTCAAATCTAAGCCGAATATAAGATTTGATTGTTTGTTATCCTGTCCCGGTCCGGTCTCAGTCCGAGTAATACGGTCCGATTTCAGGTAAAACCAAAAAGGTCGGACCAAATAATCAGCCCTACTTTTTAGGATTAGTATAGGGGGAATTCGGTCCAAGATAGGGTGCATAACCCAACAGGAGCCGTCCATCTGGAGCGGGGAGATCTAACGACTAGGGTCGGAGCGGAGTGGGGTAGGGGTATTTTTGTCCATTATTTGAATTTATGTCTTTCCCTCTTTATTCCTTTTTGGTTTGTCCTTGGCCGAGCTGGAATTGTATTCATGAGAGAGAATGAGAAGTAAATAGAGCAATCGAGAGTTTTTCTCCGAAGGATTACTCGATGGCGAGAAGGTTGGTGGAGGAAGCGATTCTTAGCTTAATCGGCGGCGGACTTGCAAGTTATAGTTGTTAGAAGGTCGGTGGAGGTCGCGATTCTTAACTTAATCTTCTCTTTTCTTCTTCTTGCTCGAGGTTTTGGCGCGATTTGCTTGTGTTGAAGTTTCTGCTGGCTGTTGTTTGGTCTCCGTCAAGGTAATTTATAGTGATAGTAGGATTTTACGTTTTCGCATTGATTCCATTCTGTAATTTGTTTTTGATTTTGTGTATATATGATTTATCTGCGTTTTCTCTTTTGTGCTCTCTGTTTTCTGTTCTTTGTGATCTGTTTGTATAAGTTTGATATGTTTGTATAAGTTTGTTCAGTTGATTGATCCGTAGTTGAATTTATGTTTTGTGCAAAAAAATTTTGAATCTTCTCTGTTGACTGAGCTTTTTTAGTGCAATGAGTGATCTCAATCAAGGCGTCATTGTTTCTTTGAATGAATCTAATACTGGATCTAGTTCTTCTCATAGTGTTGTTGAATCGGAAGGTAAGAATTTTAAATGTGTTTGGTAAGTTGAAGTTTGTATATATGTTATACCATACAGTACCATGTTATACCATACAATACCATACTGGTATTTTATAGTATTTTTGCACATGAGTGTCGTGTTTTATTTGTTGTAGATTATTTTTATAGTTGTTGTAATTTTATGTTTCTGTATATAACATACAATACCATTTTATACCATATAATACCATGTTATACTATACCATAAAGTACCATACTGGTATTTTATGGTATTTTTGCATATGAGTGTTGTGTTTTATTTGTTGTAGATTGTTTTTATAGTTGTTGTGATTTTATGTTTCTGTATATATGTTATATCATACAATATCATGTTATACCATAAGAAACTATACTGGTATTTGTAGAGTTTTTGAATGTAATAAACTTTACCATATTATACTATGGTGGTATTATATTTTGTACAGAATTAATGTTTCATTCTTTTTATGTTTTAGGTTTTGATGCTATTGATCCTAATGTTCGAAGTTCCTGGAACAATCTTGAGTTCGGTACAACTGATGATGCATATAGATTTTATGTGGATTATGGGAACTATAAAGGTTTTTGTGTGAGGATTTACCATCAGTCGGCATGTCCGAAGCTTAATAATGGTTCAAATGCGGTTTATTATATCAAGTATTGTTGCAATAAGGAAGGCTGGAGGATTGGTAGTGAGAATAATCATGCTAATCGTGGTTCTATTGATGTGAAGGCTCGTGTTCGTCGTGTTCCAGAAATCAGGGGTGGGTGTGATGGTGCCTATATTCTAATTAGGTGGTCTAAGCAGTTCAAGTGTTACAAGATTTATAAGTGGTATGATGTGCATAACCATGCCATGATTCCTGAGGCTATGCGTCACTACATGAGATCGAATAGAAAAATGACTCATGTCTATAAAATGTTGGCAGATGTGAATGATGCTGCTAGTATAGGTGTGACTGCTTCGTATAATGCAATTAGTACAGCTGGTGGTGGTCGGAAGTGTATTGGTTTCACAAGAAATGATTTGAAGAACCACCTGCGGACAGTGAGGACGTCATCAATGGAGCATGGTGATGCAACTGCATTGCTAAAATACTTTAGACGACAAGCTAAGCTGGATCCTGGTTTTTTTCATGAGGTAGAGGTTGATGTGGACGAGAATATTGCTAGTATTTTTTGGGCAGATGGGAAGATGCGGATGGATTATCATTTTTTCGGGGATTCGGTTAGTTTTGATACTACATACAGAACGAATACAGAGTATCGACCACTAGGTATGTGTTCTTATATTTGTGATTATTCTGTATTATAGTTATTTTGATTTGGTATTATGTTGTTATCTGTTAATACTATGGTGGTATTTTGTGGTATTCATTATGTTGTTATCTGTTAATACTATGATGGTATTTTGTGGTTATTCATTTTTTTAACACTGTGTACCAAAGGGTATGTGCAGCTCTATTTGTTGGTTTCAACAACCATCATCAACTCACTGTGTTTGGAGCTGCCCTTCTATATGATGAAACAACGGCAACGTTTGAGTGGTTGTTTAATCAGTTTCTGGAATGCATGGAAGGTGTGAGCCCGTCGTCTATTTTTACTGATCAGGCTGCTGCAATTGCTGCTGGTATAAGGTCTGTTTTCCCAAGTTCTTTCCATGGATTGTGTTCATGGCATATCTCACAGAATGCAGTTGTTAATCTGGGATCTTTGTGTGATTCGGCTTTCCTTTGTGAGCTTAGCTATTTGATGTACAATGTTGATGATGAGGATGATTTTGAGTATAATTGGAAAAGAATGATAGATAAGTGTTTCCCTGGAAAAGGACCTCTTGGACACAGTTGGTTACAAGGTATTTACAAGGTCAGGGAGAAGTGGTCATCGGCTTGGGTGAATTCTCATTTTGGTGCTGGTATGAAGAGCACCCAGTTAAGCGAGTGTTGCAACAATAATCTTCGTCATTACTTGCAGTCAGAATTTAGTATTCCTAGATTCTTTGTACATTTTGATAGGATTCTTGATAATAAGAGAGATGCTGAAGAAGAAGAGGAGTACAGAGCACTTTCTACGTTTGCTGATTGTCGATTTTCATGCAGTGCTATTGTCAAGCAAGTTGCTGATCTATATACGCCAAAAATATTCCAGCTTTTTCTCGGGCAGTACAAAGAATCTCTTTCATACAATGTTTTC